CCCTACAGGTCCAAAAGAAGGGTTTAACCAGGCCGTTTGGGTAAAGGCAGTAGAAAACGCAACAGCCCATAATCAGTCCATAGTGGGTTTATCTATTTCTCTAGTATAACATCCTACTACACAAGACAAATCCATTAAGCAGGACTCTCACACCATGCAGAAAGCACCGAAGATGACTCAAGCTCATAGACCCCACCCTAGAATAGAATCCAGAATCATAACCCTTTTGAACCTTTGATGGGGTCAAGTCGATCTAGACCAGGATGAAAGATGCAGCCCGCACATGTAAGTTTCCCATCGCTCGCACACTTGGATTGTCGACCTTGAGTGGTTTCACCGCCTCTCGCGTTTTCTTGCACATGCATTGAGCACGCGCATGCGTTTCCTCATGCTGAGAAAACGATAGCGGGCAAATTTTGCCACACTTTGTTCCAGTTTCTTCTTGTCAGCCGCCTGCGCGACTCCTTGGCTTCATAGGCAACAGAAATCGTGTGAAAGGTTTTATGCCGACGTTTTACTTTCATTATCGTGGCCAAAGAACCCTTCAGCCATCTCATCGCGTCCTCTTGCCTGAAGGTGTGTAAAAATCTCGTGTTCATTCCTCAGCTTTCGGCAGAGTATTCTTTTTTAACATCGCAGGGTGGACCAAAGTGCCCAAATCCCAGCTAATCAGACAAGACGCTGCGCCTTCTGACATCAAGCATTTGATGATGAAACACCTAGACAAACTCACAGGTTTGCATGACTTGGGGGTATTCACGTGGGCTCACAAAAATGAAGTCTGAACAGTTCGTCTAGAATTTGAAACAGAACTACCCGACTTGATTCCGCCAAGGCACATGCATTTTTGGCCGAACTTGCCAATGAAGTTTCCCAAGCCTGATTTATATCGAGGTTTCTTGACACTCCGCAAATATTTGGGGTTTTATCAGCAGCCTGGCCTCATGCTCATTTTACAGAGCAGCGCATGAAGCCGCAAGTAGTTCATCCCACACTCATAAATCTCGTTCGCCACTTGCAACGACCTCAAAACTACAAGCCCAGGAAGCCAAAAAACAGAATTGCTGCACACCACAAGGTGATTGATTTCCAAGGCACAGGAATCTCGGATTCTTCTCGACAAGCAGAAACCATTTGCTCAACGAGTTCCTTGGCTAGGGTCGTGAATTTAATTCTGTATGGGGCTCCCAGAAAAGCTTTCTTTAGCAAAACCACAAAATACCACATGTAGGCTAGGCCACATTGCGCAAGCTATAGGCGCTTGAAACTCATCGTTTGGCCAGCTTTGACCAGTGCGCAAAATTTCAGCAGAGAGCCAGTTTCCAAGGTCGCGGTCTGCGGATATAGTGCGCGTGACTACACGTTGCATACAATCAGCAAGCCAGAGTACCAGAACTCGTCCGTTAAATCCTTTGTGAGCCATATGCGCTCCATGTTTTTCGGGTTTCCATACCTTGTTTGAATCCGAAGCAAGAAGTCAAAACCAGCAGTCTAGTAATATATTACCCATGCATACTTGCAGAAAAGTTGCGAAGCGAGGCACGAAAATTCTTTGGGAGCACCTGATACCTGTGTTCTTTTGAAATGTTTTGAAGTCCTGGAAAGCCACCACCAGTTGTTTCTGGAACGATGTCGTAGTGGGGCACCCGAAGAAGCCGTTCTCACACAAGTACATCCTGGGAGGAGATTATGTAATGGAACCAAATAATAATTATATATAATATAAACAACCTAACGCAAGTTCAAAATGTGCGTCTATATAAGAATCTAGGCCATGTGTCAGCGTCGAAGCCGTCGCATCTTGCGCAAACCCCAGGTTCACGTTGTGTAAACTACAATGGCATAGAAGGTCCATATGGAAATTGGTCAATCCAACCAACGGGCCTTCAAATCACCCAGACAGAGCATACAGGCAGAACATCATAACGCATGAGCCCGGGTACATAGGATCAGAATTGGAGCTAAGCAGCAAATCACATCATCAGGGAGCATCCGAACCATAAACTCGTTGTGCGTATACATTGTGTCCAACCACGAGGGGTGTTCAGACAAATCCATATAGCAATGCGTTGCGTCGTCAGAATTCTCGGCAGAACAGCGCCAACAGATTTTTTTTGTTTTGTACCATTGCTTCAATCGGAATGTCTGCCAGAACCATTCCCAATCTCCCCTGATTTCTGTAACAGCGAAACTGTATGGCAGCTTCCCGCCTTGTGGCGTTTCTCCATTTATGCAGGAGTTCAAAGAACGAACAATGGCTAAATAGAGGGGGTTGTGGGATTCCTCACCACAGCTGAGGTCTGCATTCAGACTCCATAGGAGCCATTGGCTCATTCTTGTACTTTTCGGCCTCCAAAGGGGAATGCTCAGCCAAAAGCCTGTGATTTTTGACTGATCAAAACCCTGCCCGTAACGAGCAGTGTCCCCATACAAACACAACGGGATTGGCGTGCCCTCGATGTCCTTTGCCCCTGGCAGGTGCAACTTTAGATGTTGCCAGTAAGTTTGTAGCTTTTCCCACGGAATTGCCAAGCCAAGGACGTTGAATAAGTACAGCAGTATTTTGTGCGGCAGGAATACTGGAATCTTCACATTGTGGGTCTCCGCTGAATTAAGCTTCTTCTTCATGATGGTGGGAACGTAGTCCGGGATCTTTGTAGGCTTTATATATAAGAAACTGTAGAATATTAGAATTTAGACTCAGAAGACTGTTGATGGTCGGGCTGCTTGTTCGGGATATCCAGTGTAGCACTTATTCATTAATTGTTGATGTTGAAAAACGTTTCATACGTATGTATAACAGGAACCAACCGCTATTTGCAATTAAGATTCCAAAGGCAGTTTCAAGGCTCGCTCAAAATCTCGGGTGTTATTTCGACCACTGTATGATCCCAATTTGCGAAGTTGGGATGGAGCACGACCACGACAATCCTCAGCAAGGCAGAATCAAAACCTTTGATCGCATGTACGCTTTTGCAACACAACATGTGCAAGCATATGGTCCATGTAAATATGAGCAAGTGTCAGCAAGTGCCGATTTTGCGCCGCGCATTTCTTTACCCACCGTAGAAGCCTCTGCACGTGGAGCTCACAAAAGATAGTTGAGAACAATTAGATCAGTTCATGATGAGCAGCAGCTGCAGCCACATTATCAATCATCTCTTCCACAAGGGCAGAGTTCTGATCTGGATTGTGAGCACCTGCGCATTGATAAATTTTCATCTTCGAAGAATGTTGGGCGTACATGTTGGTCTGATAATTACTAATGCTTCACAAACGACGATCCACCCCTTTTTCTCGCGATGCGGCTTGCCACCTCACACAGCGTGTCCGCACACAGAAACCCCCTCCATGCACGATATGCACTGCATGCTATGTGGCCGAAGCCACGCCGCAATCCTTTCGCGAAGTTTTGAGAAAAACTCGCGCCCGCTGATCCGCACTATCCACTGACGTGTTTTGCGATGGTGTTTTTAAATCTTCGCAGGCCCGAGCCCTCCTACTCTAGCTTCTCCTTGGAACCTTTGGTCTGGGTCTTCCAGCCAAACAAAAGCGTTTTCTCAGCATCATCAAGCACTCCTTTGGCTTGCGTTGTTGCACGGCATATGGCTTCCTCCTTGCATATCATAGAGTCCATCATTTCGGGGCTAGTTTTGGGGGGGTCACCAAGAAAAGTTCTCTTTTATAATAATAATAGTAATAATAATAATAATAAAAGTCCTGCTGCTTGTCCATCGCATTCTGCAAGGTTGTGCGTGCAGCACTCATTTTCTTGACCACCCCATCCAAATCCTTCGTGATGGCGTCCGAGAGGTTGGTGCTCCTTGCATTAATACCACATCTAGCACATGTAGGTTACACCCGAAAAATTATGTCCACTGCAAACAAGAGTCAACCCCTTAATAGCTTCCGAACTCTTTTTGTTGTTTGCATCCTTGATCCTTTTGGATAGCGAAGCGACAGCCTGAGCCAGCAGTCAAAGAAACAAATCACTTTTTTTAAACATGCCTGATCAGAATCAGAAATTCACGAAGGTTTGACCTTGTTTCCTTCACTCATGATCTTCCGCTTTCGCTCCTTCTCCTCCTTATCTTCGGCTTTCTCCTTACGGGCTTTCTTCTTCTTGGATCTCCTGGCATGCTTTTTCTCCTTTTTCTCCTTCTTGTTTTTTTTGGTTTTCCTTGCTTTCTTGCCTTCCTGGGAAAATTACGGAGCACATGGAAATAGTATGTATCAATAATATTATATAATATATATATTATAACATATAAATATATACACATATCCCTGTCCTTCTTGCCTTTCTTTGCCGAAGCCGAAGAGGCATCATCATCATTGCTATCATCGTCATCACTGCTACCACTCCCACTAGATCGTGACCCTTTCTTCAGCTTCTCTTTAGCCTCCAGCTCGAAAATATCATCGATTTGGACCGTGTTCTCATCTATCTCCTCATCATCCACCAACACCAGGTACTGCTTGAGGCCTGCAGACAAACCATTCTACAAACCATTATATTAATTGAACGTGTAATGAGAAACTTTTTGTGGACATTGCCTGGAACTTCTGGATGGTTGCGCACTTCCGTTCTGCGAAGCGTTTTGTCACTCATCTTGCGCTGGACGAGGGCCTCAACGACAGACTTGCTTTTAAAGACCTCTAGAAGTTGATCAAACGTGAGCCACTTCCGGCAACCACGCTTTTGGTTTCTTCGCGAACTCGTGATGCGCTTGTACACCATACTCTTCCGCCAATGCCCTGCGCAGGCAATGTAGTCTTCATAGAGCGTTTGCATGGCCGTTTTGCCTTAGAAGCCAAACATGAAAATTAAAAGTCGATAAATGACGAAAACTAGCAATGAAATTTGGGGCACCAACAGAAGCGGAATCTCTTGTACGTCTTCTTGATCTCTGTGGGCGTGTCTCGACCTTGATTGGATTTCGCCTTTGAAAATATTCAGAGATGCACATAAAGGATCAAGGCTATGAACATAAGTTTAAGATTAGTTGGCATTACAGTGACGACCCATGTAGGCACATACAAAACATTTTTGGGTACAAAGCCGCTACGACTACAAATCTTCTCTTGAGCCCTCTGGTCTTGACTGATGCTGAGTTTGAATGCCTGTTTCCTGAGGTAGCCCTAACGCAAAGTTTTCATATTAATTACCATTAATATATATATATATATTATTATAACATATATATATATATTCTAAAGATTATGAAGTACATATATATTATTGTTATTAATAGACACTTTTGTAGAAACATTGACCTCAATCTTGAATATTCTATGGGGACCATGCGCAAGACATGCTAAGGGCCAAGCTTTCATTCACGCTTCTCCAGAAGCGCATGTACATGGCATGGGCCTTCTTCTTTGCTTCGTTACTGAGCTTCATGCTGCCGTTGCCTTTTGTCTTTGAAACCTTTCCTTCATCTTCCGCTTTCTTTGCTTTCTTTTTCTTTGCTGGTCCTGCCTTTTTTTTCTTCATTGTCTTCATCGTTTTCCCTTTACTGTTCAGTCCTTTCTTCTTGTTCATGGTCAGTCCTTTCTTTCCATCTTTCTTTGCTTTGTCTTGCTTCTCATTCTCTTTTGTTGCTTTCTTTTTATCCTTCTTCTCTGTCGACTCATCTTTCTTGTCAACTTTCTTGTTTGCTTTCTGCTGCGCTTCCTTGTTGTCTTTCTTGGGCACGCATGCTGGGCCCTCGAAAGCCGCATCCTTTGATGACTTTGCGGTATCGTGGTCCTTCAAATTGTACGCATCCTCCTTTTCTTCTCGCTTCTTCTTTTCCTTATCCTGCTTCATTGCCAGCTTTGTCTTGTTTGTCTTGGGCGGCGCTGGCATGCTGACCACTTTCGGAGTTTTGCCTTTTTTTTCCATAGGCGAATTTGGGAGCGGGCTAGGGCTCTTTGCTGCGGGCGTTGTCGAAACCTTCTTGGAAGGCTTTTCAGCTTCTTTCGTGCATTTTGAATCCGGGAGCTGTTTGTTGGCCTTATCCTCCTTGGACATTTGCGCCTGCATGTTTTCTGCTTCTTCTCTCCGTTGCTTTTCATGCTTTTGATCCACGGTGCTGGCTCTGTTCAATGCTTGCCGCACATGCTTCTGCGTTGAACTCAGCTCTGCTGTGGGGCTTCGCAAAATCGATCTTTTGGCTGGAGGGGTCACAACACCAGGCATGATCAAGGTTTCCTGGGTCTCGGTGTTGGTCGGCGTGGCCTTCCTGTTTTGTTGGAAAGCTGTTCTTCCGGTTCCTGTCGGGCTTGATGTTCTGCTTTCACTCTTGCTTTTGGGCTCCGGGGTCTCTTCCACTTTTATTTCTTTGGATTTCCCTGAGCTGGTAGGAGAGTCCGGGAAGTCAAACAAGTAAATATCTTTGGAGCGAGCGTATGGACACTGTGCATCTTCCTTTGAACTGTCGTAGGACCTGGGGTTCAAGGAATGTGGGCATCAAACGTGATTGAAAAGATTCGTGCATGTATCCAGGCTGAGAAACATTTCTACAGTTGTGAAACAAATTGGGCCCCGACTGAGAGCTCTTTGATCTGATCAAAGTCTTGCTCGAAGCACCCCTATCCAAAGCCCTGGCCTCCCTCTCTCTTGCCCTGCGCTTGATCTCGGCGACTAAATCAGCCATGGCGACCACTCCCCCCCGCACCTTCTACACATAAAGGGTGCTTGCAGGACAAAATGAAAATCCTGGGCCGAAGACGTATCGCAAACATTCCGAAAAAAATCTCGCAGAATCAAGATTTTTAGGGGGTTCGAAGTTTCACGGTAAAACCCTTCCTTTTCACGGTAAAACCCTTCCTTTTCACGATAGTTTCACGGTAGTTTCACGGAAGTTTCACGCAGTGTTCCTTGTAGTATTTTGTGGGAATCCGTAAGGTTTCTACCAAGCTTTTGGTAGGATTGTTAAATATAATTCAGGATCACTGCAACCTCCAAGCATTCACAAACTTTGCACACTGCGCACAACTTGCAAACACACATTGTGTTCAGACATGAACTGGTCAGATCTAGGAAAGGAAATCTTTGCAAAATTATTTCGCAGTGGCATGCACCTAAAGCGGTGGCTGGAAGATGGGTCGGTAGCGGCCCGCTCTCTCTTCGTCCTTTAGAAACTGCCTCACAGGCTCCAGGTTGGCATGCCTCCAAGTAAAGGGTGCTTCGCATATCTTCACATCCTGCAGCAGACGTAAGGGCTCATAAATTATTATTTACATTCAGCTTGTGTTCTACACTGGCAAAAGCAACTCCTGGAGCAACCTGTCGATTGCATTCGCCACTTGCTTCTCATTCTCAACCTTGGAAAACAAAGTAGGAAAGGCAAACTAAACTTTATAAAGGCTTTTGGAACACGTTTGTATGTAGGAACCAGGCCAAGAACCGAATGTGGTGCCCTGCAACAGCCTTCCCAAAGTCTGCGGGGTACCGCTGGGTTTGTTTGAGGCGAGGCCCCCCAGACCTGAGTGAGTCTTTCCCACTGGAATTAATATTGTTTCTTTAAAATTTTCACAACATACATGTAAGCCCGCTGCACCTGCACTTTGTCGCCTTTCTTCTTCTTGATGACAACTCCTTTGGAACTCAACTTCAGCTTCTTCTTGAGGGCTTTCGTGAGAGGTCGATAAAGGAGAGGTAGCCAACCCCTTGGAGCGAAACATGAAACGCATTCGCGAAAAACCGTTTTGCTCACTCACTATATACTAAGCTTGCAGCGGAGTCCCCATAAGCAGCGTTGGCTTCGTAGTAAAGTGGCCATACAGCCCCATGGAACTTAGTGGTTGTTGGGACATGTGTTTAAAAACCTCTCGGCGCATTGTTGTGAAATCTAAGTCCCTGGCAATCGCACCACTCGGAACCCAATATGTTCTTCCAGGCATCGTTTCATAAAGGAAACATACGGAAACTCCAGCAAAATCGAACTGGATGGTTGTTCTATGAAAAAGTGTGCTCCGCGAGACACTGCCAGAAGGCAAAGCAACACACATCGAGTCGCTAACCTTAGCTGCCACACACCACCCCGGAATTCAAGGTCACACACCGACATTATTGGCATGAGTCTTCTTAAGTCTTAAGTGCAAGCAAAGCACACATTTGCAGCTTTCACATATTTGTGAGCTCGGGATCCAAAGATACGACTTTTTGATCTTTTGCTGGTCGCCCGATTTACCCATATCCAGCTTTGGCAGGGAAGCCCGGCACTAAGAAGCCCATCCCGCCTCAATCTCAGTGTCAGCATGACTGCTCGCACCAGGCCATGCCTTAGCAACTTGCCACTACAGACCTCTTGACCAAGCAAGAACTCTGAAACAAATTCCATATTAAATATATTGTTATACCCCGTTACATTACATTCTATCTACTTTGGATCCCATCAGACTATGCGTGCTTACCACCACCGATGTTAAAGGTATGGTGGAAGTAGGTTCGCCATTGGTGTTCAGACAATTAACTAGCATTTTCATATTATATATAAACCATATATATCATATCTAGATCTATATATATATATATTCTATTATATATTATACAATATTATATATATATGATTTTATGTATATTTATATAATTTATATTATAAGTTATAAGTATATATATATAATATTTTTTGTACCCCAGACACTGATGCTTCGATTAATTGTTGAAATTCTCGACACACATCGCCCAGAATCGTGCGCAGGTAGAGAATGTTTCTCACACTTTGCAAAATCAATAAACGTTTTAGTGTTATTATGGGTGCTCAATACAGGATGTTACCTCCCAGAGACTACTTGTACGAATTCAATATGATATACAGCTTACCATGGGTAGGGTCCGCACACCGAGAGTAAATCATCTTCAGCAGGGCGGGATGCGACATCATAATAGTCCCTGCAAAACGAGACCAGCAATCCCAAGCAGGCAGAAGCTGTGTGGTTATCATCAGCCCCCCACGACTTGTATCCACGGGCACCTTAGGAGTTTCATGTCTGAGGCATCCAAAAAAATTGTCGACCAAAAATGTGATCCAAGAACCCTGCTGAATCCAATCTCCACACTTCGCTTTCCGGCGAATAGGTCGCAGCACCAAAGGTCCTGTCATGAATCCGGTGGGTTGCAATGGGAAATAGGAGTAAACTTTCTAAGCTTCTCACGCGGTTGTCGTTGTGGGGCTCCATGTTCTGAGCTATGTAGTCCAAGAGGTGAAACCTGGGGCAACGTATATTTTAATTTCCTACACGCTACAGCAAAATCAAGAGAATGCATTTCTCAACAGAATTATTTTGCATCTGAGGAGCATCACTACCGGAAACCCGCACATGATGAGTGCAGCCGTGGTTTTTTTCGACAGGGCGGTCTCCTTTAGCATCCACATCATGTTTGCACACAGTATATATGAAAGCTACCTACAGGCAGCAGGCGAGCCAAGAAAGTGCCTTGCGTTTGAAGTCTTGTTCAAATTGTACAATCAAAGAATCAACACATTCGGCCATCGTTATGCCAAACATGAAACAGCTTTAGTCTCCACTTTTTGAGCGCGAACACATTCCGCTGCACACGAGAAAGCTGCAAAATCTGAACATTGCCACATGTGTGGTTCATTTTCCAGGCCACTCAGCAACCATCAAGGCATACCGCCACCTAAGCTGACAACCCCATGCTGGTGACAACAATAAAATATGTATATAATAGTATTCACATGATCATCAGCAGCAGCCATAACAACTAAGGCAGCAACAGCAAACACGAGA